CAAAATAAAAAATGTACATACTAGCTAATTTTGCAATTATGCTCTAAGGATAAATACTGTGGAGAAACTCACGCATGTATAAACAGATGATGATGGCTCAATCGTCCAACAACTTCTAATAGCCACTAATAAAAAGACAAAGCAGCTCTCTATTGAATATCTACCTGTCTGTCTGTCTACACATAGGAGATATTCTCCAAGATTCACTAGGTTAAAAAAAAAAAGCAAAGTACAAAACAGTGTGTATGGTATGCTTCTACCTGTGGTAAGGGATATGCTCATGTGTATGCCACACTCGTGGGCCTCTGTACCCCTCTGGGGAGGACACACAAGAGCTGCTAATAATGACTGTCTCCGAGTGGTGGGAACAGAAGAGGTGGGCGGCGTTGGTGGGGGACACACTTTTTCCACCATTTGGCCTCTGGTTCCTCCTGCGTATTTAACCCTGTGGTGTATCATTATCATGGAAACAGATTTTCTTGGTTGCTGGCGAGCTGGAGGCTCAAATATTGCTCAGGGCAGTGATATTTTTGCCTGGGCTGAGGTTGTCATCTGATGATATTTGGTTTGAATAAAGAACTGGGAAAGCCCAATGTTAGTAAATGTTCACTCAAGCAGGAGCACATGGATTATTGGGGTAAACTTTTCCCAAATAGGACATAAACCCACGGGAAAAAAACTCAGCGAGAAGGGAGTTTTCCAGATCTGGCCAGACCCCACCTCTTGTGAACAGTGGCACTGCAGCTGTACCCCCTCACCCCCATTTGGGACACTGGGGGCCAAGAGAAGCACAGATTGGCTTCACCTGTTACTGTCCTGTGTGGTTCCATCACTTCCAGAAAGATTTTGTGTGTTTGGCTAATTAAATCGGGACTCTTACCTAACCCGACAGTGGGCACGTGTGCATGTGGGCTGTCCCGCCAATCTGGAGCAGACTGGGAGAGTGCTGCATAAATCTCTTCCAAAGAAAGAAAGGAGGGCCAAGGTTAGGGAAAGGAGGCAGAGGTCCAATGACATCACCTTCGCTCTTCTCTATTGCATTTTCTCTGTGGGGGAAGGGGGGATACCCACAGAAGGGAGCAGTGGGGAAGTTTGGAGGAGCCTAGCTGGCCCCAGTACAAAGTTTACAATTAGGAAGATATTCTTTGGTCTGATGGTTCTGAAAAACATTCTGCGAGTGACATTTTTAAACCAAGACTATCTGCTCAAATCTTAGTTGCTTACAGACCAGGAAAAAAAAAAAACATTTCATTTTCCATCTGCCAGTACTATTAAACATTGGCTCAGAACTCACCATTTTTATAAGGATATTACTCCCACCTTAAAGCCACAGAGTTTATAGCAGGCAATTAGGCGACAATCACTGACACTTCCTTGTTTTTTGTAGTAAAAGAAAAAAAAAAAACAACCCTAGGTTTTGTTGTTGTTGCTCTTGTTGATTCTTGTTTTATTTTTGGCTGAGAGCAAAGTGCCAAGGAATCCAACAATGGGTTTCTTTAGAATGTGATGGAATGCTCCCTGGGGGTTTCAGCAAGTTCTGCCCGAGTGAACAAAGGGAAGGTAAAGCACTGGTGGTTCCAAGATATGATTGGTCGGACCTGATGCTGGATGGGCAGGTGAGGGCAGGCGTGGAAGGCAGGAGGGAGAGCGGCAAGCTCAGGACCTGCCAGGGGTGGGTAGGGGTGGGCTCCATGGGACCCTCCTGGGGCTGCCACAGAAGCTCTCTGGGATTATTTTAAGGATCTGGCTGTAGCCAGAGGAAATTGATGGGCTGGCATGAGAGCCCTTAGGTGGCATAAATCACACCCTTTGACTAATGTCTTCCAAGCTGTAGGAGGTGCCTATTTGAGCCAAATGAAGACTGTTTCCTGGTGGAACATAGGTCTGCTTACAGAGGTTCTCAATCTTGGCTGCTCACTAGAACTATCAGAAATAAAATAAGAATACTCAGGCCCCACCCTAGGCCAAATATACCAGCATCTCAGGGGAGAGAGTGCAACCATTGTATTCTACGAAAACTCCCTATTCCCCTCTGTGACGTCCATATTTATATAAGGCAGACAGCTTGCCTTTAGAAAGATCATTTAAAACTTCTATTAGGTATCCACCTGCCTGGAACACATGATTTTAAGATCAAATCCTCAAAATAAACTCATAAGCCTGAACAATCATGTTCGTTTTAGCAATGGGGAAGTTAAGGCTTCCAGTTCAGTAAGTTGACCACAGCCACAGACCTAACACATGGTGCAGCTGAGATGAAAACCTGGAGCTTTGGACCCCAAATATGCCTTATGCATAGCTGGGAGTGATCTTGCAGATGTTATTTGATCTTTAGAATGTTTCGTAAGAATTTTAAGTGAAGTATTTGCATGCGATGGAAGAGAGCTAGAAAGAGGTTTAACATGTTGCTAAGGTTTCCCAGCAAGCCAGTAGCAGGACTAAAACCAGAGCCTACATTTCCTGACACTTAGACCAGTGCCCTCCCTAACAACAACCCAAGGAAGCTATCACCTCACTAACCCCATATTTTCAAGTGACCTGATTATAGAACAGTGTACTTAGTGCTCATAAAAATAGCACATCACCATCTCCACCTGCCCAGGCAACAAAATTGGGTCTTGTGTCAATTTCCTTATTGCTCCTGAATGAATTTTGCCAGAACTTGCCTTTGGAACTGCCAGCCAGGTCAGGATGATGACATCCGGGATCTGGAGGTAGCTCTAGGGTTAGTGTGTCCCTATCAGCTAAGGGCCCTGAATAAAAGTTACACTGCCTGGTTCAGGGATGTGGTTTTTCTGGGATGCTGAGATTTTTCAGGCTGAACAAGAGGCAGTGAATTGGTGTGTCCCAACTGAGATCCACAAAGGAAAGTTTCCTTTTTCTCTCCTTGTTTTTCGGGGGAAAAACATTCTCAGGCACATGGGATGCCAGTGGTACCTAGAACCGGAAGATGCCAAAAGAGACGTAGAATCTATGCCTAATGAGAATTCAGTAAGGTCATTTTACAAATATTTAGGGAAAGAGCTGGGGGAAGTGCATTCCATGTATAGGGGGCAGAATTAAATTAAAGAAGAGAAAGACCTGATAATAGGCACACCCTGTTGTTATCTCATTTGGGAATGTCAAAAAGAAAAAACCTCACGGAAGTCTTCCCAGAGGCACCTATGGACCATTTCACTTGTGTGTTTATGACGACCATACGTCTTAACACCCTGTTTTTGTTTTATCTTTGCTAATGTTGCATTTCTATGCATGACAATGAGGCAAGAGAGTTAACTAGAGTTTGTACTCACCCAAAGTCAGATGAGTAACAACTCAGAACACAGACTCACAGCATTTTTCTTTGTCACACATCAAAAAACACAGTACTAGGTTATGAATACTAAGTAGCAATATGAAAAATACTTTTGATGGCATATTCGGTTAAAAAAAAAAACCTGTGCTACTTAACCTTGCAAGGAAGAAAGAAAAAAACAAAACAAAACAAAAAAAACCCCTGGCACCTATAATCGATATGTACCATGATTGCAAATAATGTTTAACATATATAGTTGTGTGTGTGTGTGTGTGTGTGTGTGTGTGTGTGTGTGTGTGTGTATTCATGGAGGAAATAAAAGACTGAAAGGAAACTGACCAAAAGGATCATTTTTATAATCTAGGTCCCATCTGTTAGTATGTGTCTCTTGTTCAAGATAACCGGGGATCCCTGTGGCCTTTTCTGCAAGTGCAGAGATTCCAGATGATGTGGTTTTATGTTCCCGGGAGAAAGAACACATGCAGAGGAAAGAGGAATAGGACAGGAATCAGAAGGCCCAGTTCTTGCCTTGACTTCTGAGGGATGCTGTGTGATCTCGGGGGAGGAACTCAGCTTTTTCACTTGCTACCTGGATGTTTGCTGATGGCTGTCCTAATGGATCGAAGGACCACATGCAGAAAGCCACAGACCAAAGTCACACACTCAAATGCCCATAAAGGCCAGGCAGTTAACCTAAGGTAATGATGTAGACTGGATAATTTTGACATAGGTATTCTTTGCTTTATAACTATTTAAGGCTAATTTTTGATTATCACCAGAAAGTATCACCAAAAGTACAAGCTTATCTTTTGTTTTTCCACTTTGTAGAAATATGGGTATAATAGCACAAGAACCTTTAGTGATATCCCTCGCCCAGGAAAAAAAAAAAAAAAAAGAAATATGGGCATAACAAATATTTCTCATTTCTCTTAATTGTATAATTTCTCTCCACCCCCCCCTTTTTTTTTTAAAGCGATGAGATCTCATTATGTTGCCTAGGCTGGAGTGCAGTGTCACGATAGTAGCTCACTGGAGCCTTAAACTCCTGGGCTTAAATGATTCTTTTGCCTCAGTCTCCCAAATAGCTAGGACTACAGGTATGTGTGAACATACATGGCTGATTTTTTTGTGTGTGTGTGGAGTCGAGGTCTTTCTATGTTGCCTAAGCTGGTTTCGAATCCCTGGCTTCAAGCAATCCTTCCAGCTCAGCCTCCAAAAGTGATAGGGTTATAGGCATGAGCTAGGTCTTAATTGAATAATTTTAAAAACATACACAACTAACATGCTTCTGGCTCTCAGCTCAGAGGTGGGATAAATAGAGAAGGTGGTGGGGAGGGGGCTGTGATGAGCTGAAGACTTCATGCTCAGTCTAAGTGGTATGGATTTCTCAACTCAAACCAATTGTTACCATGAGGAAATGCTGACTTAGTGTGTAGAATTTCTGCAATTCAAGTTTTTAAACAGAAGCAAGAAATCTATATGTTTATATGAAATCTCCTGATTTCTAAACATTGGGCATTTCAAATTAACAGAAATTGTTTATGCCAACGAAACACATGTGTGGACTACATGCAAGACCAAGGGCGTCATTTCGAGAGCTGTTGAGTGTGTGTATAATCTTTTCTCTTTCACATCCCAGAGTTCTCTCCTGCCTCTTCCTGCCATGGGACACTTGCAGTTCAAAGGGGGAAAGGCAAGGACTTACTATGGAGCTGCTGAAGGCCACCGGAGGCTGCGAGCTTTCACGGCGCCCCACGGACCTTTGTCGGGAGTGGCCCTGGATGGGCACACGGGCACTCTGGCTCCTCCTCAGGGGCTGGGCTCCTCTTTGACTTCTCACAGTGGCTGGACCCTGGGCCCATCTGGCTGGGAATGACAGGCATTGATATTGGTTCCACTCTTCACTGTCTGAGTCCAGCTCCTTTGGGGTTTCCAGTCGCTTGGCTACAAGAAAGGAGTCTTGTTATTGCACCAGTCATAAGTTGGCCAGGCCATAATTGGATGGTCCTTGACTTTGGGGTTGGGCAAGAGCACAGGTCCTTGACCCATTCCTAGAAATGAGTGTGCTTTGGAGGACCCAGCCTTCTTCTATATGACATAGCTCTGTGTGTGTGTGTGTGTGTGTGTGTGTGTGTGTGTGTGTGTACTCATTTAGCTCGGGAAAATTGGCAATGGAGCTACTGAGACTGGAGAAAGAGGGGTGCCACCAAGTCCCACAGATTTAAATCCTGGCTGTACTACCTGCTAGTTATGTGTCTTTGAGCTTTGACTTAACTCAATTCTCTATTTCCCCAATTAGGGGTTTTTAAAAAAGTACCCAACTCATAGGGTTGTTTTGAAGATTTAATGATATAATGTGTTAAAGTGATTAGCATATTCTAAGTACTGGTAATGGTAGCTGTTATTATTATTAAAAAGAGATCAGGAGCTCCCACGTAAATGGCCAACTATTACCACGGCAAAGGGGATAGGGCCGTCTATAATATTCCCTCTTCTCTCTTTCTCCATCCTTCCTACCCAAAAGTATGAATGTTGTTCTCTTGAGAGTTTCTTTTTTTAGGAAGTTCTGTATGTCGGGTCATGGTGGTGGTGGCTGAGGGTATCAGGTCACCTTTATGGGCCACCTTCAGTCCATGCAAGATAACAGTCCAGGTATTTTACAGCCCTATCTCCCAAATCAAAACTTTGCCACCAGGGAAAATCATTTTCTGAATCTGTCAAATCTGAGCATGTGCCTTGCCCTAGACCTGCCCTGACATGTCAGGTAAGGCGACCTGAGAAATTCCTAAGCCTTGGCTGTATGATTGGCACATAATGAGGAAATGTGTCCAATTCATTGCTCACAAGTAAAAATCCTGTGTTGTATATGGTACCAGATAAAGATCGACTGGAGGGGCACCATGTATGGGATCGCTTCCAGCCTTTGTGAACACATGAAAGCTTACAGGTAATTACAGCAGCACTGATCTGCGACAAGGAAGACCACAGGGATATACGAAGCAACTTGCCAAAATGCCACACAGCCTCTATGGGGAGCTGAGATAGTGTCTTTCATCTCCTATTCTCTTGGAAGAGCAAGATGTTTCCTTTTAGAAAGAGGGATGAGGCCCTTGGGAGCCCTCGTACCATTTTCTTGGTGAGAGTACTCGCTGCCCATGATGGTGCAGCGCCGGAACACCATCTTGTTCTCTGTCAGGGTCCCTGTCTTGTCCGAGAAGATGTACTGGATCTGGCCCAGGTCCTCAGTGATGTTGAGGGCTCGACACTGAATGGACGAATCGGTCTCTTCATCATACAGGTCGAGGTCATTGTGCAGGAAGAATACTTGCCCGAGCTTCACCAGCTCAATGGAGACGTACAGAGAGATTGGGATGAACACCTGTGGAAAGACGGATTCCCACCGTGTCGGAAACCAGGCAGTTTCCTGCCTCAGCACCCTCCCTAGCAGGTGGAAAGGCATTTAATGGAACACAGGATGGACTTTCTCTGAGAAACTAAAGGTCAATGACTTCACGTTTCCCTTGGAATTCTTAGGGGGAATCTGAAAAAGCAATATGTCTTCTTCACCCTGGGTGCCTGGCGGGAGGTAGGCACTCACCACTGGTTGTCAGTGACTGAGCTGGGAGGGAGAGAAGCAGCCTCTTCCCAGAGCCCCCTGACTCCCCTTGGATCTCTATGCCACTGAGGGCTGCCACCCACTTTTATGGGTACTCAGATCCCACTGACTTGACACCTAATATTTGTCGAGTGCTTGCTGTGTGTTGCATGCTGTTCCGAGTCCTGGAAATGGAAGTCAACTGAACAGAATCCCCTGCCCTTGAAGAACTCAGATTCCAGTGACAGTAAACAAATAAATAAACATATACTGGTGGTGGTGAGTCTCGTGAGAAAGAACAAAGAAAAGTAAAGAGGGTAGAGTGATGGCCGGGAGGAGCTCTTTTATAAGCCATGACCTTTGAGCAGAGACCTGAAGAAATGAGGGTGTGAGTCTCGAGGTTATCTGTGGGAGGAGGTTCCGGGCAGAGGAAAAGGCCAGGCAAAGCCTGGGCGCTGGGGGCGGGCAGGTGTTTGGGGAGTAACAATGAGCAGACCTTGGACGTGAGAGAGGAGGAGGAGGGCCTAGGAGGCAAGGTTAGGGAGGGGGTCAAGGTCCAGGCCACTTAGGGCTGTGTTGGCCACGGTAAGGACTTTGAAGGGCACTTTGAGCAGATGTGAAATCATTGGAGGGTTCTGTGGACAGGAAGGGTATAATTTGATTCACATTTAAAAATGATTACTCTGCTAGATGAATGAATGGAGGGAAAAGGTTCACTGATAAGAGGGCAGTGAAACATTCTCAAATACCACGAGAAATCTAATGTAGATGGAGCCTGACTAAAGCAAATTTGCACTCTCTTCACCTTTTCAGAGATGGTTATTTTCTTAGAATGAAGATTCTTTATTCATCTCCTTTTCCCTTACTGCCTCACATTTTGTAGATGCTCTCTATGTTTTGTTATTTTTTTCCTTTTATATAGGGACAAGTCTGTTTTCTTCCATCTCAATCTATCAAATGTTAAACACAAACTGGGAGGTTTCTCTCTCTCAATGTTTGGAGCATAAGAGTTCTCTTTAGCTTACTGTGCTGCTTCATCTTCTTTTGTTCCTAGATCATCAATGTTTTACCTGTTCTATATCTGAAAAAAGGGGCAGACACACGTGGGTCATTGCTGTAATCTTAAACAGAAAAGCCTGATAACTCTTTTCCTCTAGATATTATCTGGGGGCAGGGTCTCCTCCATAATGCAGGGTGATCTTGACATTACCCCAAATGTGAATACTTTCAAAGCAATAAGCATCTCCTCATCTCAGTCCAGTTAGTTCTTCTTGGGGCCAGTACCAATGTTTCTTTATTTTGCATAGTTATAGGGGTATTGGCCACATATATTCTCAGGCCTCTGGTTAGGGAGGGCTTCCTACCTGGAGCAGGATGATCATTGAGAGGAACATGTAGACACCCTGAAGGGCAAAGGGAAGGAAGCTGCCGTCGGCCTCTGGCACATCGAAAGGAGGGTGTTCTTCAAAGGTCCCATTCCAGAGGATGTGACCTGAGAGGAGGCAAAACAAAGGGCGAGACAGAATCTCCACTTAGTCCTGAAGTTGGTCAATTACATCGGCCCTTGACCCATTCCTAGAAATGAGTGTGCTTTGGAGGACCCAGCCTTCTTCCATACAACATAGCTCTGTGTGTGTGTGTGTGTGTGTGTGTGTGTGTGTGTGTGTACTCATTTAGTTCTAAAGTGGTCCTTCATATACCCTACATTTCAATGCCTAGGCATTAAGTCTGTTTTACAAGGGGAGATGCACATGAGTATTACTTACGTTTTCATGAAGTTCTGTTAGATAGGGTTTGAAAAGAGAGAAAGGGACATATACTCTTTTTAATTGTATGGCAGAAAGTGCATGGCTGGGGAATTTTGACAGATCTATTCCCCAATCTCCCTTCTCCCATCCAATACCCATCTATCCACTCATTCATCTATCCACACACCCATCCATCCATGCATCTATCCAGCCACCCATCCACCCACCCATCCATCCATCCATCCACCCATCCATCCACCCACCCATCCACCCTTCCATCCACCCATCTACACACCCATCCATCCATCCATCCACACATCCATCCACTCATCTATCTATCCACACACCTATCCATCCACTCTTCCATCCACCCATGTACAAACCATCCATGCATCTCTGTTTACCCATTCATCCCTCCCTCTATCCAACATTTATTAATTCAAGAAGGAGTGAATCCTAGTTCTTGTCCTTGAGGAGTTCCTTTCCATTAGGGAGTCAGACATAAAGGGACAAACCACATGCAGTATGAGAGGTGCTATGCCAGAGCCTGGAATGCTTTGAGAGCCCATAGAAGAGCACCCGATGCAGACTGAACTCTCCATTTCCTTATCTGCAAAGGGTATAACAACATCCGTTATCTGAGGATTATGTAAGATGATGTGCATCCAGCACCTGCTACAGATCTCTTTGAACCTCAGTGTCCTTGTCTATTAAATAGTAATAATATCTTCCCTGTAGAATTATTGTGAGAATAGAATAACCTAATGTGTAAAATGCTCTCAGCTCCAGGGTAAGAACTTTAGGGAATAAAACCCATAGGGAATACTGTGCTGCCAAAGACACTTTCTCACCCAGGAGGTTGGGCCAAATGCCACGTAAGTGGCAGAAGAAAGAAGAGTTACTGACATGAAGGTATTTGAAGGTAATATTATAGAGCAAATGATTAAGGGCCACTGGCCTTCGGAGGAGCAAGATGAGAGTACAGGAGAAGCCAGAGAAGGCTGCATGGAGGGGGAGGACTCAAGGGGTCCTGGAGCCCAGGCAGGGTGGTCAGGAAGGGCAGGGGAGGATATTCCGGGCAAGGTAAGAAGAAACATCATCTTTACAAAACCAAAGTAAACATGTGGTCAAGAACCGTGGAATGGCTCATTCTAGAGCTTTTACCTCCTACAGGGCTTTGCTTTAATGAGGTGTCAATAGAATCCTGTTGGATGCGTAAGTGGTTATTCTCAGACACAATAGAATTCTGCCCCTCCCTATGAACTTTCTTCCTTTCTTTATTATTTCGGGGAATCTGCCAAGCTGATTCTGGCTTGTTGTGCCTTATCTCACTCTGCAACCTTTCAATCATTAATTTCCTTCCTCTGGAAACACAGTGAGATGATCTCCAAAATGCCCTTTCAGCTCTGATATGCCCTGAAAAACCTGTCCTGAAGCAGAGGCAACAGTTGCTGCAGTGTCTCTGGGGACACAGAGGTGGCCACGTGGGCAGGGGTGAAAATTGGGGTGATGGGGCGGAGGCAGCGTTTTCTAAGTGCTTTCTGGGGGCTCTCCTTTCAGCTGTGAGCCAGCCTCGAGTGGAATGCTAGCAGACATGCCTGGGAAGCATGTTAATTAAAGATCCCAGGCCACCCACAAGACTAAATCCTGTCATCTTCATCGTAGTGGCACGCAAAATCTCTCTGAGCCCCAGGACGCTCCTATCCTTCAGACATTACCTTTCTTTATTAACAACAGCAATGGCTACAATTTCTGACTAGGATAAGTAGAGAGCAAACATCATTGCTGTGCATTGGGGGTTTTGGATTCAGCACATGAGTTCTTCCTCTTGACTGTCACTGGCTCTTTTTTGGGGTCTCCTTTAACATCCCGAGAATCATCCTTTGAGTTAAGTATAAAGGGGAAGAAGGGGTCAGAGCTCCAATGAGGACCTCTCTTTGCCTACACTTTAAGGATCAGCTTAAATGGATCCAGATCACTCCTGTCTCTACCTCCTGTTCTGCTGAGGTCTCCATTCTTGGTCTTTCTCTTGCCACAGTGAACAGCCAACTGCTCCTCTGCACAAATTGATTCTCCTACCTCTGTGCTTCTCTTGCACCATCCCTGGGGCTAAGCATGGCTTTGCTGTCTCTCTTCATAGCTGCTCGCCCTGTCCTGCTTCTAAACTTGCCCCTGCCACTTACCTCCTCTGGAGAGAGCCTCCACCATATTCCCACAGTTCTAGCAGCTACCTCTTCGAGAAAGACTTCCCTTGTTTGTGCTCCCATAATGCTTGTGGTAGGTGGAATAATCCTCCCATCCTAAGATACATTCTAATCCCTGGGCCCTGTGAATATGCTGTCTTATATGGCAAAAGGTATTTTGCAGATACCATTAAGTCATTATCTTGAGATGGGAAGAGTATCCTGGATTAACCAGATGGAAAATGAAGAAATCAATTGGATGATGTAATCACAAGCGTCCTTATAAAAGAGAGGCCGCTGCAGACGAGGAGAAGGAAATGTGAGCAGAGATCAGAGTGGCGCACTTTGAAGATGGAGGAAGGAGCCCAAACCAAGGAGTACAGGCAAGCACGAGAAGCTGAAAAAGACGAGGAACAATTCTTCCCTCTGAGACTTCGGAAGAAAACAGACCTGTGGATACCTTGACTTAAACCCAAGGAAACTGATTTGGGACTTCTGACCTCCAGAGCGATAGCAGAATAAATTGGTGTTGTTTTGAACAACTAGGTGTGTGTTAATGTTTTATAGCAGCGTGGAGAACAAATACAGTTCCTGTGTATGGCCTCATGGAGTGGGGCAGACTATACTCCCGGTTCTGTCCACATGTTTGATCCTTGCTAGACTATAACAGGAGCTCTTTGAGGACTGGTCCTGTGATTGACTCCTTTTGTTATCCTTCCATGCTAAGACAGTGCCTGGGTCCTGTCAATATTCCTTCAACAAATATGTGATAGATGATATTCCTAATATTTAAAGAGCACATATCGCTTTCAGGAGATTTTCACTTGCATTTTCCTTTCATTGGCATCCTATTAGAGAGGTGGGGTAGGCTTTATTTTATATTAGCCCTATTTTATAGACTAGGAAACTGAAGCTCAGAGAATTGAAGCAACTTGTCCAAAGAGAAAGATTACTGTGTTCTTGTTCTTTCCAGAACATTCCATACCTACAGCTCCAATGAGGCACATGAGGAAGAGAAGCCCGATGCAGAAGAAGATGTCGGTGTTCATGCGCCGCTCAATCTTGCTGCGTTTGTACCGGGGGCCGCTGTTGTTCAGCATGGCTTTTGTCTCATGGCCTTTGAGAGAAAATGAGGAAATCAGATCCTTGGCTTTTGTTGCCTCCGTTTGAGACCACGCCCTCGGCTCCTCTCACAGGAGCTTGTGATAAAAGAGAGGCTTCCTTCTTTAACCCAAACCAGTCCTGCCTCTGGGAGGTTGCTGAGACTAGCTGTAGAGGCCTCACATAATGTGTCAGCAGGTATTCACTGAGCATCCCCTGCGTGCCGAGCACCGTGGTGGGCACTGACGGAGCTAGCATGCACAGGTTGTGCACTGCACAACTCTGGAGGGTACCCTTCATTTTGAAGTTGTCAAAGATTTGTAAGTTTATTATGACAACTTTCTGGCAAATGACAGTAGGCTGTCTTGAGGAAGTGCTATCTTCTAAGTTGTACAAAGGTGCTATTCTGGCTGTTACGGGCTAGCGGTGGGATACAACAGAAAGACAGATGGTTCACATTTTGGTGAAGATACAAGGAAACAAATAAATAGGATAATTACTTTTATTAATAAGTTCTATGAAATAAATAACAAACAATAAACAAAAGGCCAAGGCAGATAAGAGATAGTGTTAGAGAGCATGATGAGGGAAAGTTTCTTTGAGGAGAAGACATTTAAGGGGAAACCTGAAGGGAAAGAGAAAAGTTAGGAGCAGAGAGTTTTAGCCTAGTGGAACTGTATGTGCAAAGGCCCTGTGGTAGGACAGTACTTGGGGCCCGTATTTACCATACTTGTTTCTTTGGCTGTGCGTAAGGTGTTGGTGTCGCCTATGCAAGAGTAGTAGGGACCAAAGGCCCCCACCTCAGCATTAACTCTGAGCAGCTCCACTCCTGTGTTGGACTTCTGCATAAAATTTTGTTCAAAGAAAAGGTGACAAAGTTTCAAAACTACCAATCTCTTACGGTCACCTCCTTTCCTGGTTGGGGAAACTAAGGACCAGAGAGTAAAAGGGATCTGCCCAAAGTGAAAGAATAAATTAATATATCAGAGTCACCGTGGGGACCCAAGATTCTGCTTCCCAGTCAATTTCTCCTTCCACCAACCCGTGGTACCCAAGGCCACACAGCTAAGAGCTAAGAGTCAAACTGAGACTTTGTCTTTAGAATCTCTCATTTGGGGCTGCTGAATTTTAACTACCGTGCTGTACTCCTCAGCAGTCAAATTAAAAAAGAAAGTGCCAGGCATATATTTTCTATGCAAAATTAAAGCAAACCAATACAGCTCTAGAAGCAAATGGCTTTAATGCTGTTTAACTGGTTGCCTTGTGGATTTAAAGTAGCAAAAAAACAGTAGGAGTGAACAAACTCCAGGCTTTTAAAATAAGACACAAGTAGCTGCAGTTGGAGGGGGTTCCAGAAGCACGATGGGCACAGACCAACTGCACTGATGGCCCGTAGCCTCTCTGCCTGCCTCTCATGCTCACTCCATACAAGGGGTCCTGGGACCACCCCCTTCACCAAGCTTTGCCTTGCCTTCTGAGACCCTCTGCTCCTTTGGCAAGAGCTGGGTTCAAGGGGGAGGCAGTATGGTATAGTGGTTAGAATGTGGGCTCTAGAGGCAGACAGAGCTCAGCTCTGCAGATGGTTGATCTTGGGTTACAGACAGTTACTTTCAGGTCATATGTGACTTTGGGTGAATGAATCCCCGTGTGCCTTAATTCCTCTGAAAAATGGGAGAGAATGTCATGTGTGTGCAGGAGGAAATCAACATACACAAAGTACTTAAATTAGTTTCTGAGACACAGTAGGGGCTCAGTATATGTTTGTTGCAAGAAGCACATACCTCTACACTGGCTCTCTTCCTTCTGGAAAGCTCAGCTTGGCATTTTTGGGCCTCTGACTTTGAGGTCTTGCTATTTTGTCCATTGATAATATCAAGAGAAAAATGATAACTCTGGACCAGCTGTTCTCAGCCAGGGGTGGTTTTACTCCCTAGGGCACATGTGACAATGTCTTGAGAAATTTTTGGCAAACACAGCTTGAGGTTGGGGGGTGGCTAATTCATCTAGTGGGTAGAGGCCGGGGATGATGCTAAACACTCTACAGGACAGCCCCTGGCCACAAAGAAGAATCTGGACCAAAACATCAAGCATGCCAAGATCAAGAAGCCCTGCTCTAGATAATAATATTAAAAACAATGTGTTATTTTTGCTCACATTTTTGAAAGCCTAATATATTAGGCTAATATATCTGGCATTGTTAGGCCCTTTTCACAGATAATCTTATTTGAACCTTATAACCCTACAAGGAAGGAACTATTAGTTCCTCTCATGTCGAAGGTTTAAGCAACTTGCTCAAGACATCCAGAGCACGAGTGCATTTTACCCTAGGCAGCCTGCCACCCCAGAGCCACGGTTAACACTCTCCCCAAATCTGCCCCGTCATACATCAGTCCAATCACACACTCGGGGTTTCTTCTTTGTTTCTGTTCAGGTGGAGAAGCAAAGCTCTACACCTATGTATTTTTTTTTTTTTTTTTTTTTTTGTAGGGAGGAGATTGCTGGAGAGTTCATTTTTAGTAGGTCTACCAGATGGCGTTGAACTCCATTGCTTAAGACCCTTGAAGGAAGTCATGTAAACTGGCAAATATAATCCTCCTCCCCCAAATTAGGGAAAGCTAGCTAAATTGTGACTTTATTTTTAAAAAGATCTTTTTTTCTTTGACAATCCCAAGAAGTGAATCTTAAGGTAGATGGGTATTTAAGTATTCTTCTGAGTCCATCAGAACTGGGATTCTACTCAGACCAAACCAAAGCCAACCAAAAAAAAAAAAAAAAAAAATATTCCCAAGTGTCCCAGTGAGTGGAAGACTCAGAGGGTAACATATTCTAGAGTCTTCCAGTTTGAGCAGACACTCCAGGCAGTCTGTGTTTCCTCTGCGGTGGAAGAAGTCTTCAATTCTTCATATTACTTATTAAACATCTCCCGAGGGCTGGCATTAGGCTCTGGAGACCTAACAGTCTCAAGACTGCCCTCCAAAACTTTAGATGTCATTGTGAGAAGTGTGACTGTTACCTCTTATTCTTTGAGAAGCAGAATCGAGGTGCAAAGGAGAGCTAGGCTTCCATATCGGGAGCCGTAAAATAAACGAGGATAACAGTGAATACGTAACTCCAAAACCAGCAGCTGAAACCCACTGAGCGCTGACTTCACTAGAGACAGTGCTGGCTGCTTTCCATGTGTTGGATCATTTGATCCTCGTGCATATTCTTCCCACTGTACAAATGAGGAAATGGAGGCACAAAAGGTGAAGTTGTTAAGTTCAGTGAGGTTATTCCACTGGATCAAGGAGATGCTCTTCATCCTGCCTTTAGTTAGCATCACAAAACCATTGGGGTGAATGAGTGTGCACCCCCTCCCTGTCTTGCTCAGGTGAGTGATATCAACTTGGAATCGCATTTTGTCTCCTGTGGACTGAGTGAACCGCTGTGATTTCCTGTCTCAGTGTGCTGAGCTGAGGAATGGGAAGTTACACGACTCTATACTGCCTGAACGTGGGTTTGGAGGAGGGGAGAGAGGATGGTGGAGAAAGGGGAGTTTGGACAAAAAAAAAAAAAAACCACCCAGAGATAATGACCTGCATAGATGACGATGCCAACAGCCACCTCGGTGTTTCTGACGGTACAGCCTCGAAGCAGAAGATTCTCACTGCCAAAGCCAGTCCTGGTCTGGTTAGGATGCTCCCTGGGGATGAGGAATAAAACATGGGGTAGTTTGGTGGCTTCTCCATGCTGCCAGTGGCTAGACACAGTAGGGGCTCAGTATATGTTTGTTGCAAGAAGCACACACCTCTACACTGGCTCTCAAAATATGAAGTGGTGAATGAACATGATGTCTCTCCTCTCTGTGTTTATAAACTACATTTAATTACATGATTGTATTTGACCCTTTGTAGTTCTGGGAAGTTAGCAGGGCGACTGTGCTTACTCACGAAAAAGCTGAAGCTCAGAGTGTCTGAGAGATTTTTCCAAGGCCACACACCTGGTGCCTGGAACATCCTAAGACTGGGGAATCCAGGTCACAGACACAAACCCCATTGTGATTTTCACTGCTCTAGAGATCCCAAAATACCACCCCATCCACTTACACTGAATCAGAGAGTCATTTCTGTCTTCAATTCTGCTGTATCTATCAAGGAGAAAGTCTCCATTTCACGCTGGTATGTTGTTAACCCTATTCTAACACTTGTTTATTCTACTTTTTAACACAGAGGTGGCTTTGGCAAATAATAATCTGAATTTAGAATATAATGATAACTGTTTTGATTTCATTGTATTAATTTTTACTGTCACCTGCTATGTATAACAAGTGATAGTGGTTTCCCACAGGGCCAAGTGATTTAAAATTTCCTTTTGAAATACATTTAAGAAAAAATAAGGCAATTAAAAATGTTGGTAGATAAAAGCATAGATCTTTACGAATATGATAAACATCATAAAGGTGGTCCAAGAATGACTGAAGTTCAGGATCCAACATGGCTCCCTGTTGTCAAGGAGGAGGCTGGCCGTGGACTGAACACTGGGCTGAGGAGTCTTGCGTGCTTCACTGTCAGACGTTTTTATGATACTCTGAGATGACAACACAAGATAGAGGCTTCTCCTTCTCCCAGTCCTAATGTCCCCTTTTCACTGGATGGTAGAAAAGGATTAGCTGTCTCACAGCTGCTGTTCTGTTTGGTGCTCTTGGTTTACAGGGATGCTCTATTTAACTGACTCCAGAGCAGCATTTCTCAACCTGGGCACTGTTAACATTTTGGGCTGGACAGTTCTCTGTTAGGGGGTGTCCTGTGCATTGTAGGGTGTTTACCGGCATCCCTGTCCTCCACCCACTCAATGCCAGCAGCACCCCTCCCCAGTGTGACAACCCAAGATGTTTCCAGACATGCCAAATGTCCCCTGGCTGGGGTGGTGGTGGTGATGATTGCCTCTGGTTGACAACGACTGCTCTGTCTGCTCTATAGAGATCCTTTTTTTAAAGATTTTTTTTTTTATTTCAGGAAATTATGGGGGTACAAACATTTTGGTTACATGTTATGACTTTGCCATGTCCCAGCCATGATTTGAGATGTGCCCTTCCCCCACTACAATGCTCACCACGTCCATTAGTTGTGCGTTTACCCACCCTCAACCCCCCTACCCCCAAAGAATATTACTACTGTGATCCTTTTGTTTAAAAGTTGCATTTTCAAATCTGACACCCCTAATCTTCAAATAGTTTGTTAAAAGCTGTTCATCTTCTAGCTGGCCTGTGCAGTCTCAGGGAATTTCTAAATTAATGGGACCCAGAGAAACTTCTGGGAAAGCCAGAGGTGTCAGACCAGTGGGTCTGCCCAGGAAGAGGGTGCAGACCACCTGTGGGGGCCGGGCCTGCGGGCATTCTCCTTGCTGAGCACAGTGAGGCTGCAGGACCACAGAGAAGGGCTCTCCATCACTGCATGGGGGGGCTCCTGGGCTGCCCGAGGGGACTTTCAGGGCTCATCTGTGAGTCCCTGGCAGGTGGAGGAAAGACAGGTCTCCAGCAGCAGCCACCAGGAAGAGGAGGTGCTGGTGGTTGAGTGAAGCTGGGAAAGTTCTGTCCTGAAATCTGCCTGAGAGGGGGAGGCTGGAGCCCAGGTTGAAAGCTGAGAAAGGCCGGCTGCTGGCATGAGCTGTTTGCCGGGAGAAAGGTCATAACAGAAACCCAGCAATGAGGCTGCTCTCTCAGAGGATAAGGAGGATGGCTCAAGGCACGGGTGGTTTGGGATGAACCAAATGTACAAAGCTCGGCATGAGAAGTGCACTCCTTTCATGGGCAGTGACCAGCTCTACCTCGCCAGATGCCTGCAGTGAAATCCTCCTCTTCCGCGGGACCTTGTGCCCTTCTCTGCCTGTCTCCATCTGCTCTCTCTGAGCATTTTAAAAGTCATTTGCCTTTAAAACTACTGTTTCTCTTGTCTTGTTCTTATTCTTTCCCCTCTTGTATTCCTCCTCATGACATCCCATATGGCCTGAGAATGGAGGAAAGCAGAGACATCTGCGTTCCAAGGCGGCTTCGTAAGCCCCCTTCTAGGCCCCGTTGGTGGAGAAGTTGGCATAACAGGGCCGAGCTTTGCACTGCACAGCAATGGAAAACACGCTGGCGTCAAAAGACCCAGATTCAAGTCCTGGCTTTGTCTTGTACCTGCTGTGTGACTTTGGCAGAATCTCGCAAGGTCTTAGATCATCAGAATGCCCGTCTGAACAATGGAGATCATGACACTCGCTTCCTTTGGTTGTTGGGAAGATCACATGAGATGTTCTGCGGAAGGACTCTAGAAACTCCTAAAGCATTGTATTAGGGCATTGACTCACATCTCTTACTATTGCTCTTATTTTGCAGGGAGACCAGTAATTCGATGTGGGAGCAGAATTACAGTAAAATTCTTAGTCTGAACCAAAGTTGAGGAGTAAGAATAACCATATTCCCAACAGCGGCAGCCACCGTTAACTGAGTATTTACTTGTTGCAGGTTGCTGTGCTAAGGGCTCTGCATATGAAAAATCAACTTAATTTCTAGAAAAGAAACATCTTATGGTGTAGACGTTATAATCTTCATTTTATAGACTTGGAAACCAAGGCCCAGAGAGGTTAATTAAGTTACCCAAGGTCGCACAGCTTGTAATTGGTAGAACCCTGACTCAAGCCCAGCTCTGTCAAACTTCAAAATCCCTGTTCTTACCTACAATGCAATACAGGCCCTTTTAGAAAACCAATCTTAATTAAATCATAGTTGCCTCCCATGAATCAGAGCACAATCTTGATTTTGATGCTATTTCACAAATGTTCTAAAAAAGAACCACTGGTGAATTGAATTTAGCCTTGCAAGATAAATATAATTAACTATCACTCAGCAAAACAAACAAACAAACAAACAAAAAAACAATAGAAAAAGTTTCCCAACTTAGATTTCTCTAGTCCTTCTTTACAGAAATAAATATGAAAGAAACAAACTTCCTCAGGATCCAGATCATTTCAAGAAAATATATTTTCTAGCTACAGAGGAGACATTCCCTAGCAGTATAGGTGCATCGGATACTTACATATAACCCTTGAATCTGTTGAGGTGCTTGTTGGGCTTCTCGCACACGATGGTATTGCGGAAATGTTCTGGTTCGAACTGCACCTTCTGTGGGAGAGGGGACTCTGTGAGGTTATTCATTCAGAGGAATCTAGTCTTAATAGGATCATGGGGAGAGCTAATCACTGTTAGAACCATTGCAAATAAGGGAATCCCTGCTTTGTCACACAGTGATAGTAGTAATGTGTTAAAAGAGTTAAATCCTCATTAAGGAGGAGAAAATAGATGCAAATGAGAAGTTGGATGCAGGGTGGAGGGCGTCGCTTCCCCGATTGCATTTCTCTGGTGGGTCTGGGTTTGGGGCTCCAGCCCAGCGTGGTGCTATCAAACTCCCCGCAATGATGGAAATATTCTAAGTCTGCGTTGTGCAATATAGAAGCCACTCATCGCAGGTGGCTATTGAGCACTTGAATTGTGGTAGTTTGACCGAGAGATAGGTTTTCTCATTTAATTTAATTTTGATTAATTTAACGTTAAATAGCTGCATGTGACTAGTGGCTACCACATTAGACACCACAGAAATAGATGACGAAAAAGGAGGGATTATAAATCACACCACCTAGAGATATCTGCAGGTAAATGCTTGTGGCTATCTCTAGGGTGTGTGCATATATCCACACACACATATATTTATGTAACTATACATGTATACATTTATGCATTTCAAAAATAAGATCTAGTGTTCAGATATCTTGGACGTTTTTACATGTTATTAAATTTTTCTACATCACCACTAGCACCTGCACAGAAACCTATTGTACCAATGCACCATATTTCCTTTAATCATTTCACTATCGAATATTTACGTTGTTTCAATTTGTTTTGCTCTTGTAAAAATCCCGAGAAAATAGTAGCTAATAAAACAAAATAAATAGCATTTACTAGCTGGATTCTCATTTCTGCCAGACACTGTGATGAGAACTTTATACATAGTATTTATTTTCAAGCTTACAATTATTTTATGAAGTAGGAATTTTAATGATCCCCTTTCTTTAGAAATGAAAAATCTGTGACTCAGAAAGGTTGAAGTAGGCTGCCCATGGTAATACCAGGGCTGGGAGTTGAATCCAAGTCTAACTGGAGACCCTCTGTTCTTTACTTGCATAACACATTGCCTCCGGGTGAACAATCTTGTAGCTAAATACTTTAAACCCATCCTTGACTCTTTGCTTCTTAAAGGTGTTTCAGCTGTACAAGTTCGTAGAGTCTAAAGGGGATAAAACACAACTAGAGGTGGGGAGATATTGCTTCCAACTGTCCTCCACATCGACTATGTTCAAACCTTAAGCCTCAGTTTCTTCATCTGTAGAATGGGGCTAACACCTCCTGCCCTGCCCAACTCATTTGTGCCTCAGAAAACAGAATCTATGTGGAGAAGTTTTGAAACCTGTAACATGCTATGCAAATAGGAGGTAGTACTGCTAAAGGTGGGCTTGGAAATGGTTTCCTCGGTAGAGCCTTTAGCACGGGGAGTGAATTTATCACTGAGAGCTTCAAGGTACAGCTGTTCAAAGGGACAAATTGATTTGAAGAAATGATAGCATTTTCTGGCTTCGTGTAAATATACTGTCCATCGGATCTGTGGGGGTGCCAGCATAAATAAATTCTCTATTCACTTGAAATAAATTTCCCATCCAGGAGTTTCTAAAAATACGGCCCTTTTCCCTCCAGGTATTGATTCTTTCAGGGACAAACACTTGCCGAGTTCTGAGATGATGACAAATCACACCGTAATTTGTCAGCTGCTTTCGTGTTCCTGATGAAGTCGTGCGCTTCACTCCTGCTCTGCACAGCTCCTCTCAAGGCTGGGTTTCTAAATCCAAACTCATTTCAGACACGAGTGGCGGTGGGGTTTGAGAGCTAATCATCTTTCTGCAGTGCCTCTGAGCCCTGTTGTCAGTTTAATCATATCCCCCGTGTCCCCAGCAACGGTGAAGTTTGACTCTCTTGCTCCTCTGTTGGGGCTTCCCAGCAACCTTCCTCCTGCAGTGTACCTTTCCAGGTTCCGAGTTCTCCTTTCCTTCTGGGTGCTGGCCTTTGGTCCTCTGTCTGTCTTCCTCTCTTCATGGAGGGGGTGACCTTGCTCTTCTGAGCTACCCGTCCTGCAGGCTCCTTTCTTCCCTCCCCAAGATGGGCTGTGCAGAGTGGCATATGAGACCTACTCACTGCAAAGACCACCACTCAGGGCCTGCTTGCTTTTAAGGATTTGCCGTAGCTCACTGCAGGGGAGCTGTCGGGCTTTCCAAGGACAGAGGGAATTGTCTGGCCTTGCAACTCTGTCAAGGTTCTTATTTTAGCCTTATTCAGGAGTTTCTGATTCCTTCCTGAGATGGGGTGGGGTCCCCTCACCACCCTAACAGTTTTTCTTAGCTTATGGTTGGAGCTCACCTAACTGACCATTTCTTTTGACCTTTTATCTAAGGCATTTCACTTTGATGAAAGCCGCACTAACTGGAATAAGGCCTGGGGAGTCATCAGGGTACAAGAAAAGACAAGCTCTTTCCAGAGGAGAGTTATGTCTCTGCAGTTCTTTAGGCCAGACCTATCTATCCTGAGCACGTACTATGTGCCAGGCACCTGTCATTAAATTCTCACAGTCACCTTAAGAGGTTTGACAGATGTACAGATGGAGACTGATGTAAAGCGATCGTCTCACGGTTGGTAGGTAACAGAGCCAGGATTGCAACTCACATCATCAGAATCCAAAACCAGTCACTGTTGCTGTCATCATCATCATATCGTCATCTTTATTCATTTTCCTCTTCCTGTTGTTATTATTGCTATAGCGCTTATTGAATGCTTATTATGTAGCAAGAACCAACTAAATATTGTATACGTGCCATCTTTTTTAATGCTTACAACAACTCTATCACGTAGGTACCATTATAATTCCTAGTTTACAGATGAAAAAAATTAAGGCCTAGGGAGAATTCATGACTCCCCCAGTGCCATGCAGCCAGCAGTGCGGGCTTTGACCTTAGCACCACTGACTCCCTGAGAGTCTGTTCTCTTAACTGCAGTGTTATTCGGATGCACAGAGGAAAGATTAGCCTCTAAGCTCTCCTCCTGGCCCGATTTCCCTTTCTATGTTCACTTCCCACTTTCTATGATTGAAGTACCTGATATAATAAATGTACTCATTCTCTAATACACAGCGGAAATATATCAAGATTACTAAGACTACTAAGCCAATGCAATGTGTTACCTCTTCCAAGTATGTTTGCATTTTAAAGTAAGGTACCCACAAAGGGTAAGGGTAAAGGTTAAGGCACTAAATTGCCAAGAGGATATTCTTCTGAGGATTTTTAGTTTATTTTAAATTTTTTAGCATTTAACAGTTTTTTTTGGCCACCTCGTCTATGAAGCTTACTGTAATCTCCACAGACTTTTTCCCTCCAGCCAGACAGAATTAATTGCTCCTTTTTATGTGCTTCCACCCACACTGTTACACCTCCGTCAAACACTTATGTGCCTAGATCTGTGCATCCTCTAGTAGACTGTTGGCTTCCTCTGGGGCACCTCCTGCAATGCCTTGTTTTAGCAGGTACACCATAAAGATCTGTTGAGGTAAGGTTAGCACGGGGCGGGGGTGATGTTGGGAATGTGCATATTGAAAGGTGATGGATGAGGAGATACAAAGCAGACCTCACTGGACAGACTGACCCAGGTAACTAGGAAAAGCTTCAGGTACAATCTTAACTTTGATTCATGGGAACAGGACCACTTCTTTCATGGGAATTCTTTGGCTCAACTAATAAAAATTGTCATCAAAGTCCTAGATCCCGACTTGGGCCAGTCTAGACTCCCATTCATTTATTCTTGCATTCCAGCACTTATTGAATACCTGTGATAGATGAGCCATGTGGGAAAGTAAGAGAGAATCCGAGGGAAGAAAAGGGTTATTGACACAAATCAATGATTACAGCCATAAGACAACCAACTCAAGGTTCACAGTCCAGCTCGGGTGTGTCAATAGCAGTATCTTTCAAAGAAAAGGAAAGTGGGCCTCGTGCCAGCGTGTAATAAATCCCTGGGGTTGAGGTACTCCTTGCTGACCTGTGTCCCAGTTGCGGCAAGCCTGCTCCCTCCCAGAGCCACTGGGGAGGCGAACTGGAATAGATTCCGGCGGCTAGAATCAGCCATTTCCTTGGTACTTGCCTCAAGGTTTACTTCTCTAGACTTATTTTCCACTCTTCTTCACAATTGATAATCAAATTCATCAATACATGTGTTTCGATAAATGTATGAATGATCTTTTGAGATTGTGTGTAGTGGTTAATGGTTAGTTTTCTGGATACCCACCTTCTGTCCCAGCCTTCTTGTATAACAGCCTTCTGACTTCCTTTTGGGAAAGTACTGTGTCTAGATGCCCCACCCATTAGACTCACCCACTGTGGGACTTTGACTTGAGTGAAATGATTCAAGGAAGGAAAAGAGAAAATGAGACCATCAACTAATTCCTGCTACCAAGCTGTTTTTGTCAACCAGTGGTTCCCAACTGGCAGATGAAGCTATTGCAACTTGTCTACAAATCCTCTTATAGGCACCAAAATGCTATCTGTAGACAGAATAAAGATAAGTCTCACACACACACGTACCACTAGTTTTCAAATTTCTGTAGGAATTCTTGAGATTAATACTTGAAAAATTCATTTAAAAAGTTACTAAATTTACAGTAGCTTTTTGTTTGAATGTATTTTCTTAAAAATGAACACTGAAAGGACAACCACTTTTTTTTGATAGTCATAAAGTCTTTGTGCTAAAAAAAAAAGGGACCCTATTCCTAAGTTCTTAGAGGACAGGAAGCACATCTTAGACCATTTTGAAACCCCTCTGGCATTCAAAAAAGATTTTGTTGATTGAAGAAAGAGAAACAGCTAAACTCTTTCCTCAAACACAGAACACATTTACTTATTGAGATTTTATAGGAGCCAAGAATATTTGTGGAAAAGAAGAGCTGGACCAGTGATCACCATGCTTCCGTGCAACTCTCAGAGTCTGTTCCTACATGATCGTCAGGGTAGAGGACTAGAAAGGAGAACCACCAC